TACTTTTTTAACAAACTGTTTATTTTTTCTGCTCTTCCCACTTGAGTATAACCATGATACAACTATACACTACACGCTTTAAAATGTTTTTGTTACTGCATAAAAATACATACAGTACATACTATATTGTTATTTTGTTTTGATATGACATTATTATGATTATATTATGTGCTATATCACGATTTTTCTTTACATTTCTATTACATAAACATTTCATATGTTCATCAATATTGTGCAGTTAATTTTTGTCTAGTTGACTTAAATACAACGTTGAGAAAAAGTTTCATACATCATCGTGTGTGTTAATACTGCATAATATTACACGTGACAAACTGTACACATTATACACTATTATTATTATTATATTATACATAACACTGTTTACTTTCATTGTAGTACATATTGTATTTATTACGCATACTCAGAATGATAAACCTACACTCACATTCTTAGTAACATATAAATCATGGAAATATAATCTTGTGGACATATGACATTATTATAAATCAATAATCTTATATGTATTTGATCTTATCTCATATCTATCATTCCATCATCAGCACCACTGTACACCTCAGTGCAAATGAGTGAACATTCAGCAACCCTAAATTGATTTGAATACTCATTAATTCCAGTCAAAGACGCATTTCAGTGTCCCTAAATGACCCTGAATGGACCTCAAATGCCCTTAAACGTCCTGAAATGCCTTTCTAGGTCTCTAAATACACTGCAATGCCTCTTAAACAACTGTAATCATTGTTAATACCCCACAGCAGACTCCAAATACCCCTTAGTGCCCCTAAAACTATTCTCTGCCTCTCAGAATTCCCTAGTAAAGCTTCCAAAACACCTGAAACAGTTCTTAGTGCATCTTACCTCCACCCTGCATCATTTTGTAAAATTTGCTCTCAATGTGAAGCTGTGGATGTTTGGTCTTCACACATTCCAGTTTGATGGCTACTTCCTCTCCTGTAGCAATATTGGAACCTGACAGGAGAAACAAGGAGAGGTGCAACATGTCAGCATCCAGTTTGCATAAACTGGAAAATGTGTGGGACTCCTGCAACTTAACCAGTTATGGCTAAGATGGGGGAAAAAAAGCCCAGCTTCTCACCAAGATAAATATCTCCAAAGGATCCGCTCCCTATCTTCCTCCCAAGGCGGTACTTGTTTCCCACCCTCAACTCCATGGCTGTCGAGCTTTATAACTCACTGAAGGGTTAAAAACACACAGATACAAACACACACAAAACTGTCATCAATCACTGGTGATCAATAGAGTTAAAGGACACTGTGGTGCAAAGCTGCAGACTTTGAACTCAAATCTATGAGTCCTGGGGCTGCTGTATCATGAAAGAAAATTAAACTGAAAGCTTGGGAAAAATCGACAGGAGAGCTGAGAAAGAATGAAAAGTGAAAATCACTGAGCCAAAACAGTGACGTAGTGCAGCCTGAGTTACAAATGTTGCTCACTTCCAGCTATAAAGCGACTATATGGGACTAAACCACCCACAAAGCAAAACATTTTCCAACACAGGATCTAATATAACAACCCTGCTCCTATCAGCCATGTTTTTGTTGTGTTGCAATCCTGACACCTTTAGAGGATGCGATAATAAATTTCCGGACAACAATGTAGGCCAATGAAGTGTTTATAAAGTGCATGGGGAAAAGGTGAGAGCAAAGAAGAACAGAGCGTGTAGTTGTATAACATGATTTATTCAGAGCTGCAGGGGGGGAGCTGGATCAGCATCTCACACACTCTTCTCAAAGCACTTCAAAGGAGTCTGGTCCTGTGTACAAGTGATTTGCATAAACTCCCAATTTCTGACTGGAGTCCCCTGACAAAATTTGGAATGAGTCATGTTTTCCTCACCCAAGCCCTATCTGTCTGCACAGCCATGAAACAGGGACTTACAATGGAGGGTGTTCAATAAAGGTTACGCTTTACAAACCAGTCTGACATTGCATTAATCGCTGACTAAGTTCTTTTTTTTTTAGTCTTGGCTGCATTGTAGACCTACATACCTCCCATCCACATTCACTGTGCAGGGAAAATAAGGCAGAGCAAGCCACTGCTGCACATTACCAAACCCTTTACATCAGGTTTCTCTGGCTCATTTTCTCTCCCAGCCTCCAGAGCTGCTGTACTGTCAGTGTTACAAAACTGAGACCCACTATTGCAGCAAAAAAAAAAAAAAAAAAACAGGCAAGACGTGATGTTTTCACAGAGAATACTTCATGCAGTTGCCCCAGATACCACCAAGAGTGTAAATGTGGAAGGTGCTGAATGCAGAAAAAAAAAATCACACAAACACACACACACATACACACACCGTTTATCCCTCGCTGACATCAGATGTGGTAATAATTCCCATAACCGCACCCTCCATACAGGACCTCTGAACAGGCGCACCCCCCCGCCCCAACACGACTCTATTTGAGCTCTATTAGCCTAACCCAAAACACCTCAACGCCATCACACACACAGACACGCAAACACGAGCCTCCAGACACCTTGACTAGCCAACATACACTCCTCACCAGCACCACCACCACACCTCCTCCTCCTCCTCCTCCTCACCGGCTTCGTGGTCGCCCGTTGGCTCTGTCTCACTCAGGACCCTGGACAGCGACGCACCGACGCGGCTTCGGACGGCTCATAACCTCGGAGATCAGTGACCCGAACCCCCAAGTCCCGGAAAAAAAAATAATAATAAAAGACCTTAAAAGTGCAGCTGGTCCGAGGCGACCCGGTGCGCCCTGACACTCTGGAAGATTCTCAGTGTCGCGATTTTTTTTTATTCCCCCTTCTTCTTTTTTTGGGCGGAAAAGCGCCGAAACTAGACACAGAGGTCCTTCTCCGTTTCTTGCCTGGCTGCTGCTCCGTCTCCCCCTCACACTCTCCCACCCAGCCCTCTCTCAGTTTACACCATTGACAATATCAATGATGTCATGCACAGACTTGCGGAGATGCCCGGATTGTCTTAAAGCCGCCGCGGTGCTGCTGCTATTTGCGGGCATGAATGAAGCGCCCTTAACGCTATCAACAGCGCTGTTTCACCCTCACTTTAAGCTCCGATATGTATTTACACCACTCATCGATCTGAAAATATTTTAAAACTACAATATAGTTAAATAAATAATAAAATAGTACTTTGTGCTTGTTGTTGTAAGTGTCTATATGGATGCAGATATACATAAGACAAGTGAAGTGTCAACCTAGCTGGATTGTTGGTTGATAAAAACTCCTAGTTTGGGGTTTTATCACAAGCTTTAAATATTTTGATCATGTGGTTGCATTATTCAAAATACAGCAATGAACAACAAACCTTAACATCATTGCAACAAGTTCTGAGAAACGTTGAGTCTCTCATGCTTGAGGATTTTAAAAATAAATGGGAGTAAAATACGATTTAACCATTATCAGTATATATAGTATTTTCATTTTTTAAACGATTTAGAAACACCTCAGCAATATACCAATAAACCCTGGAAGCTGTGTTTATCCAACTGACAGTGACTATATTTGAAGCTAACTACCAACGGCGGTCAAAGTGCAGCCTTAATTTGCTAGCTAAAATAGCTCAAACGTAAGCTAGCGGCTAGCCAATTTAACGTCTGCTGGGACTAAAAAAATATTTTCTATAAACACTTTTAAGCACAAAATAAGTAAAATGCATTTACACCATTGTTTTTTTGGAATAAAAACATGTTGACTTACCCGGTCTTTGAACTGTGAATGAAGTAGCAAAAGCGTCACATACGAAAAACTGCTAGCTTGCAAATTCGTTTGAAGCTAACATAACAGCTAACGTTTTGCGCTAGTACGGCTATTAGCGTGCGAAGCTAACGTTTAAGCTGGTCTAGCAGCAAACGTTTAAAGTAGGTGCGAAGCTAAACTTAGCGAACCATTTACTTTTGTTGGTACATATATAGAGATGCTTTGTTACATTGAATGGGAAAAACTGTATGCTCTATATAACAGAAAAACAAGTAAAACTTAAAAATAAAATGCTTATTGGAGTTACCCGAAACTCGAGTGGTTGGCGCGCATGTCACTTGGGTGTGAATGCAGCGAGCTGTCAGTCGCCGGTTCGATTCCCGGCCGGAACACAGGAGGTGCTGCAGGCCGTTTCCTTGGTGTCTCTCACTGCTGCCGCTGTAAATAATGTCATAACATGTCCCAAAAACAATCTTAAAAGACACATAAATAAAATGCACATTGCAGTGTATGTGCCCAAATATCAAGAAGCCTACACAATGTATGTTTCATTAGTTAACCGACCAAGACTTTTGTATGCATGATATAAAAATAATCTAAGTCAATTCTTTTTACAAAATGAAAATATACCAACAACAGATATGGTTGTTCCACCTGCGACTGGCTACTTAAGGTTATGGAATCACCAGTGGTATAGAATACTGACATGTTCATCAAAATATAAATGAAAAAAGTGAATTTTGTATCACTGCTGACAATAGCTTAAAATATGTGCTTGTGTTACTTGTTTACATACATTTTCTCCTCAACAAAGACCAGTCTGCCATCCTAAGTTTACTTTTCCCCAAGGTTTTAAATCACAAAGAAACTTTTAACCTTAGTATCTTTTTTTTTGCTTTATAATTACTTCCTGGCTAGTTTAAAACTACAATAACAAGTAAAACCAAACAAACCAACCAAAATCAAATTTAAACCAAAACAGTGGTATGTCAAGAGAAGTCCGGGACCACTTCACACAAATGTTTCTACCAAGACAGAGTAGGTTTTAAATGTCTTTTGTGTGCAAATTATACACTACAGTCCTTTGGACTTCATAATTCCCACTCACAGGGATCGGGGGGGAAAAAAAACAACCCCCCCCAAAAAAATAAAATGACACAAGATTAGCAAAATATCTGAAAAAGCAAATGAAAATGTGCTATGACATCCTTTAGGTCAACGAAACAATGCAAAAGTACAGATCATACTGAACAAAAATAAAAATAAAACACCAAACTTCAATTCAACCTTTATTATCTTGTTCTTTTCTGCTTTAAATTAATTTCCTCTCCTTTTTTTTGTAACATCTGAAATAAATGAAAACATCCTGAACAGGAGTGATAATAAAGACTGACTTAATTTAAATTGATACATAATAACAAAAAGAAACACAGTAAAACATAACAGGTAATGTCTTTAACGTGTCTGTAAAACACTGTTCCAGCTCAGCTTGGTATGGTAGGATGTGGCATTTTAACAGAAATGCCTTCAGTTGGTTGCTTCGTCTTAAAAACAAAATATCATTCTCTTATTGCATTTGACAGAAAAAAAAAATACAAACAGGAACAAAATGCTGCTAAAAAAACAACACACAACTTAAGAGACATATGCAATAGTGCCAATGTTTTTGAACTTTTTAGCTATCACAATATCCAGACAGTCAAGCACGCAAACATGTGTATACATCCACACATTCTTTCTTTCAAATGCAAGTTGTCAGATTAACATCTATTCACTTCCCTGACTGAAGCAGATAAGTGTCCAGAAGCAAGCATACAGACACACACACACATATGCAAACACACACAAACATTTCTCATGAATCTCTCATGGACAGGAAAAAAAGAAAACAAAAAACATTCAACATAGTAGCAATAACACAGACACTCCCGATATCATTGTCATCATCTTCATCACGTCCTCCTCCATTCGGTCATAACTGTCAACACTCCTTTCATGCACACACAGGCAGGCAGGAGGGCACCTTGTACAGCGAGTAAATAAGTGATCATAGTCATCATTACATCATGACAATATATAATAACCAACTTGAATTCTCGAGTAAGAAAAAAATACAATAGCGAGGTCAGTGTTTGAAGGGCAAAAAAAAAAGGAAAAAAAAAAAAAAAAGGACATCTCTGGATTTCCACATAGTTTCACACGTTTCTCTTTTCGTTGAAAACAAAAAATATGATAAACAACCAACGTACATCAACAGGGAGATACAATTTTGCTTGTCAAATATAAGAGCAGTGTGTAACTGATGAGAAGGTGTGATGCTGTTGACGTGGAGGGGTGGACGGCCGCTGGGTGTTAGCCAAGGCCACTGCTGTTGTAACATTTAATCGTCCTGTAAGGTCTGTGGAGTTGTTGTGTTGTAGCTCTGTTTCAAAAATGGAGGGATTTGTGGAGGATGTGTCAACAACAAACCCAGAGGCATATAGTGCAAGTTTGGCTAATGTTGTTTTTGTTTAGATTTTTTTTTGTTTGTTTGTTTGTTTTTCACCCTGGGTCCCATAGTGATGGCATATTTCCACCAAGGTAGACGTGTCGGTACCTACTAAAAAGACTCCTTTTCTGCAACGTTGCTGATCATCCATTTGACTCAGTAGTGTGGCGCTGTCCCAAATTTTCTACAAACTCCTTCCCTCCAGATCCTTCTCACTCTCAGCTTCCAAAAAGAACTCAGAAGTACACCAGCAAGGTCTACGAGGGCTCAGTCTGCAAGTTTGAATTTTGATATTCGACCATTAAATAGTAATACAAAAGAAAAAAAAAAAAAAGTGGCACACTAAAAACAGCAATAGCTAAACTTGTTGACATGTACGACTCTGGCTGAGCCTGTCTACAGTGCATGCCTGAGTGACTGGGTCTCTGAATGCAGATGGTGGGATTTGGAGTAAAAAGACAAAGAGCTATCCAGTTAAGTCCTAAAGAGTTTAATGGATTTCACCTTTTTTCCTCCGGTTCAAGTTTTACTGTTGTCTTCATTTAAAGTTAAGCGGTTTAATGTGAATGTGAGACAATAATGTGTGCATGTAGCTTGTGTTGACTGTTGAGTGTCTCTGTGTTAGATGACCAGTGTAGCTTTATTTCACGTAATCTCTACGTGTAAATAAAAGCTGAGTGTGACATATGTATTACGACATAGGTGTAAAATGTGTGTGTCAGTCGGCTCCTCAGATGGAGTCGGCCCCCCCGCCCAGCAGGTCCCCTGGCAGCAGTGAGGCGGGGCTGCCCATCTGGTGACGATCCTCAAGTGGCGGAGAACCCCAGAGGCTACTGCTGGGGTACCCCGCCCCGCTCATACCACCCATTCCCCCCCACAGACCCTGCCTTCCGGGCTCCACGCCTCCGACCCCGCCCACGCCTGATCCGTTGCTGCCCCACTGGGTGAAGACGCCCAGTCCAGGGCCTTGGGTGGCAGCCTGGTCCGATGAGCTGCCTGTGCTGTCCAGACTTTGCCACCCGGAGCTGGAGGACCCGGCTCCTCCGTTTCCTGCTCCTCCGCCTGTGGAGGCTCCTTCTACTCCACCTCCCGCACTGTTGCCTCCTGCTCCACCTCTGTCACAGCTCCCTCCACTACCGTTAGAACCAACTGTGGAGGTGGCTGAAGGCCCGGAGCCTGCGGAGCTGGCTGTAGTTCCTGCGCTCCCTGCTCCTCCTGCCTGGGAATGTGCAATGTAGCGAGCCACATCCTCCTCACTCACAAACTCTGCCAAGATGGTGGTGTTTCCAAGAACACACCTGGAATAAACAAAAAGTCAGTCAGTCACTCTTGAATGACTTAGGTGATTCAAAACTTTAGTTTGAGGTATAATTTTTTTTCTCTCTACACAAAACACAATTAACATTTAGCTAAAAGGTGTAATGCATCAATATTAACAACCATTTAACTTCATATTGGTAAAACATGTAATGTGAAAAGAAAAAAAGAAAATCTGTCATACAGTTTTTAGTCTATTTCAGGATTTAATGGTTGCCAAGATACCGTAAAATAATAATTGACATCAGGCTTGAACCGACTGGTTATCAGTGACATGATGCTTCGTACCTCATTAAAACACATAATAGTGTTGTCGCGAGATTAAAATACCGTCCACAAATCAGACTACTTTAAAATAATATTTTGGAAATAAGTTTGCTTTCATTCTAAAAGTTAGATAAGAAGACAAATTATAACAATGAAACTTCATCAGCAGTTTGTTAGCTTAGCATAAATACTAGAAGAAGGGGAAAATAGGCCATAATGGGTCTGTCCAAAGGCAAGAAAATGTCACTTCATAGTTGAACAGGATTTGAGGCAGACTATTCCTTTTCAGAACCTTTAACTCCCAGGGTCTCTGCTAGTTCCCTGCATCTGGTCGAGGCCAGGAAAGAGTCTAAACTTAATCCCATAAAATGGACAATTGTCAAACAAACAAAGAGGATGTCAGAGAGTTTCAGAGTCAGATTTTGTTACCTTTATAGGAAGCCAGACAAGCACTTTACCTCCATTTCAGGTCTTTATGCTAAGCTAAGCATCTATGTAATGCTTTTCCCATACAGACACAAGAGTTACATTCTACAAATGTGATAAAAACAACAGCCTGGGTCTTACATGTGGAGTGCACTCTGGGCCTTGGCTGCCTCCTGTTTGGAGCCATAGCGAATCAGAGCAGTGCCCTGGGTCAGGCCAAGGTGAAAGGTCAGCAAGGGACCGTGCTGCATGCAGATGGTTCTCAGAGTGGAGCCATCAATCTGACGGAGTATACAAGATGGATGACAATTAACTTGAATAGAAGAGTGATGGGTTAGCATATGAAACTCAAACCACTGTTTACACAGAGTCATTTTCTCACGCATGAAGTGGGAATAAATAAGCAAACATGTTGGTATAAATTGCAGCTCTAGATTTTTGCAAAACAACCACATTTTGAAAATATATATATATTTTTACTCTAATCTTCTCCATAGATTTTGCAGTAGTTGTTTTTGTAAAATGTGTGTGTGTGTGTGTGTGTACCTGTGGTGTGAGGTTGCTGAGCACCAACCAGCAGCTTTCCCGAGAGCTGCCATCACTCCAGGTCGAGCCTGCACAGAGAAAGCAAACAGAGAAAAAGAACCTGAGTGAGAGTTTTCCACATTCCGTGTAAACACAATCCCACTCTGTTTTCCCCCACGGCTTCTCAAAAGTTATAAATGATGAATAACTTCACCTGCTGGTTTAACAGAGGCTTGTTTTTCTTCCGAATCAAATATAGATGGACTCTTAAGTTCAAAATAATGCTTTGTTGTATCCCAGCAATCATAGTCAGTTGCTTTATCTCCCGTGTTCTTTTAAACCAGCTAAATATTTCAACAAGTACTGTGCTTGAAAGAGCAAAACTGAACAACTTTGGAACCAAAACGACATGAAAAATTTGTTAGGGCATTACCAGTGGTGCTCGAGCCACTGCCCCAGCCCCTGCCAGCCAATCGAGGGGCTCCTCCAGACCAAGGGGAAGGCGATGGCTGCTTTTGACTGGCGAGACCTGGAGGTAGGCGGGATAACTGGGTCTGGCTGCTGCCACGGCTGGCTTTCCAAGACTTGTGTCCTATGGGCTCTGGGGGCCAGCTGGCCTTGTAGTAAGTGTACTTTGCTGTAAGGAGACAGAAAGGACAAAGACAAGACAGAAACTTTGAAACACATGTTGACAATTCACTGTATTTATTAACGGATCAATTGGCGATCTCACATGCCAGGAGTAATGTGCGTGCTACATTTTCCACTTGACAATTATGAAAATCTGTATCACAAGAGACATGCACTTTTCCAGCAATGCAATCTCTAGTCATTTTTTGGTGGTTGTGCATACTTTCCAGATTTAATTGCAAACTTACCAAGGGTCTGCAAAACCAAATTAATTATAAACTGTATTCTGCTAGTAGTGCATTAAGTGAATAATTTGTTGGTTAATTTTTCTGACAATATTTGACAATTTGAGCACCCGAAGACAAGTCAAATTTAGAGTGCAAATTCTGGCACCAAGTGATACACTACACATCCAAATGGCCCTCATCCTTAGTCAAACACTTTTTTTTTTAAACTTAAAAATCAAAATGAAGACGTATAAAGAAACTACAATCAGTGCCTCATAGTTATATGCCTCCACCAATCATTCAAGTTGCAGTTTACATCAATGCCCATCTAGACTTGTATAATATATGCAGTGAAAGGTAGACGTGTATTTATGTTTATAGCCAAAAAAAACTGATTCTGATAGAACACAAATTTGTAGCCTGATAGCAGAAAACACCTAAAGTATGAATGGTGTTGCTACTAAGAAGCTATAAATTCTAAAACATGGATAATTCACAGACATTCACCAGCTTTAAAGATCTATACTCTCACCAGTTTGTACCCAAGACTAGTGTCACAATTTAGTCTCTGGTCAAAGTTAAAACACGGTCACAATCTCCCCTTTTCTTCCTGAGTTATGGCTTAACTCATAACCATATTTATAATGATGACACAGTAAGTTACTCTTACAATTTTTTTTTCATAACTGGCACAGGAGTTCTTGAGTTACGGCTTTGTGAGGTCACAGTAACCCTTGGGCATGAAAATCTAATCAGTTCATCAATGAGTCCCAGTGGACTCAATTACATTCCTAAAATATTGTGTTCGTGAGGACGGGACGGACAGACAAAACTGAAAAACATAATGCTTCCAGCCAAAGCTGTCTTTAGTGTTGGGGCATAAATACAGAAATCAAGACAAGCAACATACCAGCCAAAAAGGGAGGCCATGTGTATTTGTGTGTGGTTACCTGAGTTGTGTGCGTTGTTGAGGGGACTGTCTGAGGCACTGTAGGGCCAGGCACCAGGTGAAGGCAGCAAGGTGTTGAGGGGAGGGGTGGAATCTGCAAGAAAAAAAATAAAAAGGCAGCACATCAATCAATGACTGACTAAAAACTATCCCAACAAACACATCCACATTTTGTTCATTGGTTAAAATACCTCTATTGTTTAAAAAAGGAAACTGACACTAGAGTTGACGTTATAACTTTTCAATGTCAAATACTTTCATTTATATACAACGTAAACAAAAGCAGAATCTTATGCAATGTGGCAAAAAAATGCTACAAGAAGACAAACTATAAAATAACAACGTAAACTAAGTAACTAACTGATGAATAGATATCGTAGCACTACAGCAATGTCATGACATGAAAGCTTACCAGTATTGTCTTGTAACAACTGGTGCTCTGTATCGTTGAGACCAGGGGACACTGTGTTCCCCATCATGCTCCCTGGGGTCATGTAAGGGTCAGATTCAGGATCGACACGGTCGATTCCCTTCCACGGCACACCAGGCTGGAACTCTAAAGAACAAACGGTCTGTTTAAGCCATTTCTTAAACATAAGAGTGCATTAGAGGACATATGAGACAACAGACACACTGAAACTCAATGAGCACATTAGGATGATAAATAGCACAGATAATAAATGCAATTTTCAGGCGAAGACAGAACATATTCCTAAAGTGTTCATCTGCTGAACAGGAAACAGAAATGTTTGTTTTTTTTTCCCTCTTCTTTCCCAGATCATCAAGCTCAGATTATCACTTAAACTACAAATTGTCACTAACCAGGGGGCCAGCTTGGTGTGTTGGTAGGCTTGGCGCCCATCTTGTTGCCTGGGGTGCGATGCCAGTTGTCGCCCAGCCCGTCTCCAACCATCATGTCGTACTGGGAGTAGGGTGAGCCTCCTGGCATCTTTATGGGGGTGACAGGACCTGGGGGATTGCCAGAGTGTGATGATAATGTATGTTGTTTCATTGAATACCAGATGGGTTCAGTAATCACCATACTATGTGACTTCACATGTAATCCCATTAACACCATCTGCTTTAACACCTTTACATTCCAGGTCTCATCAAACACAACTGTTACATAAACAAAAATTCAAAAAACATCTCACCATTTTTGTGGAACGCATTCTCTGGTGAGGAAGTATCTGGAGAGCAGTGCCCTTCCATCATCCATTTAAAACGGGACTGCTGACTCCCTAGGTCCTTCATGGCTCCAGGCCCGCCCACCACAGAGCCACCCAGGTCCAGACCGGGAAGGTTCACCCCTGAACCAAACCCTGCTCAGTGGAAGAGAAAAAGAAAAACATTAAGAGGTCTTTAAAGTTTCAACATATATCCAGTGAATTAAAACCTTGTGTACTATAAAAACTAATGAAACAGCTACCTGCTCTAGATTCAATTCAAAGTAAAAAAATAAATGGCATAGTACTAATCTAATTGTATCACGCACACCGCATTGGCAAAAGTGAGTCAACAGTCTATAAAAAACCACTCACCGGAGTATGGTCCAAGATTTTTCTGGTGCAGGTCAGCCACAGATCCTGCCAGGCCTGGGTGGGGCAGCGGATCAGCCCCAGGCAGTTTGGGTCCCCCTCCGCCACCTCCACCATGGTGGGAGGGGGAGAGTTTGGAGCTGCCACCTAAACCCCCAGCCTGCTGTTGCTGTCTCTGCTGTTGGAGCACCGCCATTATCCTGGCCAGCTGAGGTGACATAATGAAAACAAGAGTTATCAGCTGGGAGAAAGGAGTGAAGGGAAGAAGCAAATGAGCCATCGGTTTTGTGTGTGTGTACCTGTTGAGGGTCAGCCTGCTGCCGCACGTTTGGTGTGAACTTCCTCTGGTTTTGCAGAAGCTGCTGTTGCTGTTGCTGTGGCTGCTGCTGCTGGAGGAGGAGCTGGCAAGCCTGAACAAACACGGGTAGAACAGAAACAAGTTCAAAGGAGGAGGAGTGAGACGGCACCAGACAAGAAAAAAAAAACACAAAAAACGAACAAAAAAAAACTACGCGCAGCGTTTTTCAAGGCTTGCACAGACAAACCTAGAGTGTCATTTTTGGCTCCTCTGGAAGGTAATCATCACCATCTAAATATTTAGTCAGTGAGCCAGAGCTTGAAAAAAAAAACAACTTTGTTTCATGATCAGTGTTACATAATTGATGTTAGGGAGTTTTGTGCAACAATTTTGTGCACTTCCACTGCAATAATATCTAAAGGCTGTTTGACTGTGTCAGGGTTTCCATTTTCACAATCTAAATTTTCCCACCTAAATGTTTGACCTGATTTCAATGATTTCCTGGATGTTTGGCTGAATCATTGCCAACTTTGTCACTACAAATTCAGTTTTGCTGACAGTGTCTAGAGATAGCTTTGTGTATGTAGACCCATACAAACCTTTGTGTAAAAAGTTATAAATGTATTTTTTATTATTTCAAAACCAATTGAGATTTGCAAATAACAGTGTACGTCCTTCTCTGTTCAGCAGACCTGTGTTGGAACCCTGCAGTAGATTTCAGAGATGTTTTAGTACTGCAACTCACCAGCTGAAACTGGATGTGAGGTGGGTAGATGCTGCTGAGCATGGCAATATGCTGGGGGGACAGCTGCGGAGGGAACACACCTCCCCCGACTCCTGCCACTCCTCCCACGCCACCAACACCCCCCACGCTCCCACTGGGAGGGGGCATCTGCTTCAGCACAGAGCCTGGCACCTGGAGACAGACACAACGGCAGGCAGGCACACCTGTTACCACAGAAACGCTTCAGTGCTGTAACCACTAGCAACTACATTAGTTATAGCTTCTTCCCCATTAACATTGACTCTCTTACATGCTCTCATTAGCTGGTGTTAACAAGTGACTTGACCCAAGTAAAAGAATGAAAATGATTCAATTCCTGGAAAAGACATGCATTTCACTTTGTATTTTTTAGAAGGAAGCGGAGAAACATGGTCAATGTCCTGAAGTGCAATTAAACATTCTAGGGACCGCTCTAGCGACTGAAAGGTTCCAAGCACAGAGCCAGCAGACTGTGTTGCAAAAGATCATAAGAAAAAGAGTCAAGCAATCTCCCATGACGTCAGAAAGTTGATAACACTCTATTTGAAGTACAAATACAGCCCAGTGGACAACATGAATGTACTGTGTTGATTATTGCTGCACGAATAATGTAATCGCAATGTCAGCCAAGTCTGTGCACAACATGACACCACTGTCTATACTCTGCTAAAGACAAAAGGATGCATCACTCTGTAACTTCGCTATACAGAGTCTTTCTGTAGTTCCAACAAGTCCAACAGTCTGATGTCTTTCCTAATAAAACCCAAGAGTTCACAAGTCAAAAATCTCCAAGTTATAATCACTCATAGCAGATCAATAAATGAAGCATATCGACTTTTAGTTGGTCATAAGCCAGTGGGGCTGTTATTTCAGTGTGTAAATATGATATCTTCTGCCACTATGAATGCAGCATATTTATTTTCACCATAATACTGAGAACACTTGGCTCAAGCATTTTTGTAGATAAATTTAAGGATGAGGTGTGTAGTTTTTGTATTTTTGATCCTAGTTTAGGTTTCTGTTTTTGAGTTGAGAATAAATATTTACATTTTTAGTTACTTGTGTATTCTCCTTGATTACAAGACTCTTGAGATCATATGTTGATTATATCACAATTTCAACCACAGTACTTTCTACAATAATCACAATTAGATTTTTTGACCAAACTGTGCTTCCTTCGAGCTGATCCCTTATTGGAGGTCTTTTGAAAGTGAAAGTCTCTCCATTTTGTTTCACTTAAGGTTTAAAGTCATGTTAACTGCATGGAACTCTCTCAAATACCATCACAGGCTGTAAACATGCAGTTGTGGCAAATCCTATATTAGCTTCCTTTGTGTATTGAAGTATTTCAGAAGGAGGTAACAGTAGCTGATGATAGCAAGAAGGGTGCTACTGAAATTTCATTTCCTGTTTATATCATACACCCAGCAGTCAATGTTTACAGTTCTAATGTAAATGAGAAGCATCAAACATATCAGCTAGGAAGAATACTGATTAACAGCGCAAAAGCAGAAGTTTTAGAACCTGAGGTGACAGGAACTGATGAGGCACTTGCGCTCGTATCCCTTGGGACTGGTTTATGGGTGGGATACTTGGCTGATGTCTTGATTGGGCCATTCCTCCACTACTGCCAAAGATACTGTGACCACCCTGTGATCAAAGATGGAAAATGGCATGTTAGCAGACCCGTGACAGTGGAGACACATACAGGAAAAACATCACTGATTAAGCAGAACATTACATGAGACTGGATGAAGAAAAAATTGGATCTATTTGTGATTATCTTCTAAAAACGACGAACTACAACAACCTAATGCAAAGACAGTAGGACAGAAACAAGAGGAGTGAGTATCTTACTTGTCTAAAGGGGATAGAGTGGTTGAAGAGGGAATGGGGCTTGTAGACAGTGGGTGGTGAGTACAGAGAGCTAGGACCCTCCTCCCCAAGGCACCCATCCTGATTGATCAAAGGCAAGGTCTGTCACAGTGACAGCCAGTGGAAGACCAATTTGAGTGGTGGTGAAAGGTGTAGGGGAAGATTGAGAAGAGGAGAAATGGGGCAGACGAAGGAGATGAGAAGAAAAGGTAGAATCACAGGTGGAAAGAAATAGTGATAAAGGACAAAACGTTATCTAGACACAGGAAAGACATAAAGGACAAAGAATAATGACATGGCAGTGATGCATTACCTTGTCATAGTAAGACCCAGCATCCCCAGGTGTTGCTTCTTTGGAGCCAGGAGGACGATAGACCATCCCTCCTCCTCCTCCTCTTCCTCCCTTCCTCATATCTCCATTGTAATCATTCATTCCTATGCTTCTTTTCTCTGCCTCCATTTTCTTCTCCTGGACTGAACCAGGAGCCAGGTCAATGTTTGGGCCACTGGGATCATCGTTCTGTCCGAAGAAATAACCACCATCAACCTTAACAGCACCACCATCAGTAAGCACAGCTCAGAGAAAAGGAAATCAGAACTGTTCAACATTTCATGCTTTACCCTGCTACAGTAAAACCCAGGAGAGACATCTGTAGTCTTACCAGCAGCCCCATGTTAGAGAACTGTCTGTTGATGGGGCTCATCCAGGAGTCTCCTCCACCAGTCTTCAGCGGACCCTAACAGACAAATACAAAGGGAACAGGAGCATTGATGTCACAAATTCTACAAAGGACATTTTTTCCTAGTTTCCCAGAGGTGCACAAATTCATAGCACCATTTGAATATTTCAAGATTTAGTTACTTTGGCTTAACTCTTTTCAGACAGTTGATGGGATCAAATGATGGCTAAGTAAAAATGTTAAAAAACATAAGGGTTAAAGGATCCAAATATCAGGCCTTCGTATTTGGGTAAAAATTTTGTTTTTTGCACTTTTCCTTTCTCCAGATTTATTTTCCCCACCAGTAACCCACCTTGTTGCTGGGCTTCTTCCCAGTGTGGCTCTGTCCCCAGCCCCCATTGCTTCCCTGTCCCCAAGAAGAGCTGCTTCCCTGGGAGCCAGTGCTGTTCCACATGCCGCCTCCTTCCTCCTCATCCTCCCAGCTTGAGTGACGCGAGGCCGCCACAGAGTTCTCTTTGTCCCCCCAGCCGTCTTGCATAGACTTTGAAGCTACAGAAGAAAAAGAGTCACAGTTAAAGTCATTAGCAGATATGAAACTGACATTTATTTTATGTGCTTTAGTCTGATAAGCGTGATGTCTTGAATGCAGTGCATCATAACTCAATCTGACAACCATTAAAAACCTGAAAATCAGATTGTATGCATATCCTATGCATGACAGTTGTGATTCTATTTCAATCATCTTTCCAACTGCAAAGCCTTTCATTAGTTTTACTAACCAGATTTGATAGAGTTTGAAGAAGGATTTCCCCAGCATGTTGTCTTTCCTCCAGCATCATCAGGTTCTCCCCAGCCAGTAGGAGCATCATTAGGCTTTCCCCAAGCTGCTGTGCCATTATCTACTGTAGGACTAGTTGGAGAAGTGCCCCCCCAGCCTGATGGACCTGTAGACACATGGACAAGTTTCTTCTTGTGTCCTTAATCAATGAGATCATGACTTGGTATGGTATTGCACACTGATCCACAATCAAAACATCCTGTTTGCTAAGATTATAGCACCCAGATTATATTCACTGACAGAGTAAATTGTGCTTATTTACCCCAAGCTAAGCTTAGTTAAAGCACCCATTAAAGTTACAGCACTGTAGCTGACTACTGCTACTGCGGTTGTAGAGGTGCAACTGTAGAGATAACAAGCAGGTGGCTGGCTGAACGATTCCTTTTCTCATGACTCAGTTGTTGCTTTGTTGCACAAAACCTCAACACTAACCTCGAAAGAGCTGCATCAACTTTCCCATAGAGACTGCAGTTTTGACTTATTCATTTTTCTGTGACTTTACAGAGTCAATAAGTGACATTTGTTGACATGCTATTACATCTTTATCTGTCAAAGTGCCAGTGCTGATTTAGAAATAAACTTTTATATCACACATGACCTTTTAAACAGAAAGCTGCCATTACACAACTAGCCTTAAAGGACAGCCTGGAGGTGTGAGTGAATAGACTATTAATTAATTAATTAATTAATTAATTAATTTCTGCCTGTATTACTGTCAAAAATTATGAATGAACATGGGGATAATAATATTCCAGAAATTATCATGACAATGATTGTACAAATCAGTCTTTTCTGTCATAAAAACTTGATTGAAAAACCACATTCAGTTTCTAATGTCTCACCCATAGCTGAAGCTTTGCCGGGTCCATGGCCAGTGTTGAAGTCTCTGTTACCTCCCGGCCCTGCAGCCTGCCTGCTAGGTTGCTGCTGTATTGGAGGTCCCTGCTGCTGCTGCTGCGGTTGCTGCTGCTGCTGCTGCTGTTGCTGTTGTTGTTGTTGTTGCTGTTGCTGCTGCTGCTGCTGTTGTTGTTGTTGTTGTTGTTGTTGCTGGGCCTGACTCTGGCCATGTGGCTGTTGGCCAGCAGGACCACTGTTCTTATCCCACAGGTTGACCGGCTTGTAGTTGTAATGGGTTGGGTCTCCCCATGCTGATGTTCCATCGTCTATCTCATTCTTCCTGCTTATAGACTGCGGCGAGGGTTCCTCCCAGCCGCTTGGCTCAGATCCACTTCCACCTCCTCCAGAGACACCAGGGATGGGCCCCGTGGTCCAGCCTGAGCTTTGGTTCTGATTCTGGGCTTGAGAGATGAGTTTCCTCGCTCCAGCCCCTTGCATAGCCCCTTGGTCCAATGCTTGCTGCAGCTGTGGATGCTGATTGCGGGGCTGTGATTGTTGCTGTTGCAGTTGTGCCTGTGGGCCTGTGATGGGGCCCGACTGGCTGTTTGGCATCTGGTGCATTTTGTTTCCTCCACCCCAACTTTGATGGGGTTTGGACCCCATGCCCCCAACAACACCAATCCCCCCTCCTCCGCTCCCTCCTCCCCCTGTGCCCCCTGCTCCCCAGGTTCTCCGGGGAGCACTGTCGTCCCAGCTTCCCCAACCACCCACACCCGAATCCCCACCTGAGTGTCCTCCTCCATTCTTCCTCTCATCTCCCCATCCCCCTCCACTACTATTTGATTTGGACTCTTGCTCTCCCCAATCTTTACCTGCCCCAACCTTATGTTCTGATCCCCAACCGCTTCCTCCTCCATTCCCACCCATTTCTTTCCACCCCCCTGTCCCTTTCTCCTCCTGACTTCTTCCCCAGCCTCCACTCACAGGGTCACCTTGTTGCCCAAGATCACCCCATCCTCCTCCTTTTTCTCCCCTATTACTGCCTCTCCACTCCTCATTCCCCCAGCCCTTGGCCTCCTGGCCACCCCCATCCCCAATCCCTCCTCCGCCCCAACCTGTAGCCTTGCCCTGTTGGCTAGGTCCTGATATTATCCCTGACCCCATACCAGGTCCGGTTGTGGTCACTTGCCCAGATTGTGAGACGCCAAGATTCCTCATGTTGGGCCCTGTAGGTGGTGGGGCTCTCCCAGACAAAGAGGCCCCACTACTGCTACTGTTACTGCTGCTCTCCCAGCCCTCTCCAGATGACCCAGTAGACGGAACCAAGGAAGGACTGACCCCTGGACCCATAGAATCAGTGCTTAGGGTCCTAGGTCCACTAGAATACTGAGTGGGACCGCCATGAGAAGATGGGTGTTTTGATGTAGCTGATGAGGACCCACCTTTACTCTGTCCTGCACATTCCTCAACATCCCAGGATGTGTTTTGTCGGATTTGTGTTTGGCCCCAGCCTGTGTTGGACAGGACCCGAGGGTCCAAATCAGACCTACTGAGCAGATTCTGTAAGGCAGCTTCAGCATTAGGTGCCGGTCGGCGAGGACGACTGCTGTTAGGCACGCTCCCATTTCTCGAATTTCCACCACTGGATGAAGATCCTCCCCGTGCTCCCTGTCCTCCTATTCCCCCACCCCATTCCCCTGATTCACCCTCTTCTTTCTGATTGTCCCAGGCTCTAGTCGTAGTGGTGGCTGTTGAGGAAGAGGAGGAAGCAGCCGGAGGGTTGCCCGCTGTGCTGCCTCCACTACTGCTGCTGTTACTACTGCAGGCTCCACCCATTGCCTCACCTCCAGGATTAGGTCCACCAATACCAGGAGGGCTTCCACCCCAATCACTACCAGAAACCCCTCTTTCCCCTCCTGCTCCTGATAACCCCCACCCTCCCTGAGATACCCCGGAGGTTTGACTACTGTTTCCCCCATTTCCAGCACTGCCCCAAGCATTAGCCCCACTTGTGGAACCTGGATATCCCCAACCCGAGGTCCCATTATCTCCTTCTGCAGCTCCAAATCCCCCTGTGCCACCTCCTCCACCCTCCCATCCATCAGTCCTTGAGGCACCCGTTTTTGAGTTAGCTGCAGGGTAAGAAGGCTGGCCTCTCCATGAGGAGGCAAGGCTGTGGTCTCCCACACTCATCCCGCCTCCTCCTACACCATGGTCCATTCCTCCCCCAATCCCTTCCCCCCCTGCAATTTTTGGTCCCGCTGATTCACTGTCCCACTTTCCCCCTCCCATGTCTCGGTCTCTGGATTGCATTTGGTGAAGTTGGTGCTGATGGGCGCTTGATTGATTCACAGATAAAGATGGGTGACCCCCCAGCACCCCGACTGCCCCACCTCCCAGCCCCAGGGAAGTAGAGTTGTTGGCAGACCCTCCAGGGCCCTGGTGATGGAAAGAAGACAGACCTCCTTCCCCTGCAGCAGCGGGGCCATCCTGCTGCACCAGGGCAGGCCAGGCCGAAGGGTTGGCATTTGGACTGAAATTGGCACCTGTAATCCCACTGCTGCCGTCAACGGGGCCACTGGCATCATGGCTCCCTGGCACAGCGGGGGCTTTGGAAAGTAAGGAGGACTGTTGTAGCAGAGGCCCAGCTGCAGCTACTGCATTACCTCCTCCAAGATGACCCTGGGAGGCAGCCGTCCCCCACGCCACACTGTTGGACGACTGCATACATTCATTGGGCAAAGAGAACGAGGAAGTGGGTGAGGATCGGTTGCCAGAGGCACTGATGCTATTCACAGGCATTCCGTTGTTGCCGCTGCCCCCTCCATCACTGCCAGCAATACTTGGCCATTCCTCTAGGTCGTTGCCATCAACAATCACCTTCTCCCTGCCCTGAGAGGAGGCCTGGCTGCCTGAGCTTGCCCCCCACATGGAATTTGCATAATTAGAAGTAGTAGTAGAAGCAGCAACTGATGATGAGGTGAGGGCCAATGAGGAGGGAGTTGGGCCAGAATCTGTAACAGCAAAGACCAGATAAGAGAAATTAAAGGATGTTATGTTGGAGAAGTTAAATAATAATAATGTCTTGTCCAAGGACACTTCAGCATAACAGGAGAAACTTGAGATTAAATTGCCCAGGCTGTGATTAGTGGACAACCCACTCTATGACTTTGTAGGGCTCCACACCAACTTTTTCACTAGTCACACTGGTGCAACCAACATTGTCTGTTAGATGCACTCCTCACCTGGTCACAGGCGAATTGGTAGACACACATTTACTGAGGATCACTAAACGTGTCACACTGTAGGCTGCGGCAGCTGCTGCTAGGTGGCTTTAGTGTGCTCAGACAGTTTTGTGAGCAAAAATTAGTTTGAGAAGAGTGAAATAAAGTGTTCTAAAGTCAGATATGTCCACACAGACTGTTTTCTTTGAGCAGAGAAAATAGTATATGGAAGTGCCTTTTATGAGCGGAGCACATTTTTAAAATGTAAAGACCGGGACGCAAACCGTTGACCTTCTTGCTGCGAGGCAACAGTGCTAACCACCGATCCACCTTGCCGCCCAAGCTAAACTCATGATCATAATTAATAATTTCATTTTGCAGCCTGTTAGCTATTGTAACTGGCTAGCTCATCGGCTCAGTATCTTCCTGCCTTCACATGCGCTCTGATCGTCAGGTGTGTTTAAGTCTGACCTCTAATTCTTTTGGTTAAGGAACTCACATCAGTTCAATAGCTCGTTTTACACATCAGACAGGAACAGACTGACAGGGCTACAAAAGAAATAAAAGTTATACTTTCCACCACTATAGCTAACGCAGTACCTGCCTGTGCTGGTTAAAGCAACAGCAAAACAGCTCAATGATCATTGTTGAGTTAGACAAATGCGACCACTTGAAATTTTAACTCGCACACTCTCAAAAAAAAAGGTTGCATATGCAACCAATGTGGTCACAGTCTGGACCCTGTTAAGACTCACAGCATTACTAATACATACCTGAGACAGCAGCCATGTTTGCATTGGGGCCATCCCCTCCTCCCCCCCCTCCCAGCAGCATGGAGGACAGTGGCGGCTGACCCCTCTTCAGTAGCACTTTATGGTCCTGCTGGCAGCGGAATCGTGGCGGCACTTCTCTCGGCATGTAGCGCGGTGGCTGCTGAGGCGCCTGAGTTCCGCCTCCGCTACTTGTACTGCCGGTTCCAGCAGCACTGGGGCCGCCAGCGGTGGAGGAAGAACTGGTGGTGGAGGTGGGCTGTCCGTTGGCCACTGCCAGGCGCTTGGCATTGTTGCCGCCCTGTGACGGGGTGGCAGCACTGCCAGGGCCTGAGGTGGCTGGGGATGGGGAGGCAGAGGGGGTGGGTCCAGGGCTGGGGGAGGCAGAGCTGCTCTGAGTGGCAGGAGACTGGGCAGAAGCCGGCTTGGTCAAGTCTGGCACTGCAGAAAGGGCAAGGCAGTGAGAGAAAGGGAGGAGATGAAATTAGGAATCAGTTGGCCAAGTACATTTTCAGAGAACAGTACACAATTGTTAATAGAATACACTGTTTTGTGTGAATTGGTAGTTAGAATTAGTGTGCTAATGTTATGAAGAATTTCCTGATGCAGCAACTTTGGATTATTGTGCGTTGCTCTTATATTGTTTCTAGAAACTACAAAATATACATTATTGTAAAAGACAAGTGCCAATTTTAAAAACTAAGAAAAGGTATTTAGTATCAAAATACAATTTGGACAAGTATGATGAAGGAAACGCATCAAAGACGTAGCATCTACAGGAACATCTAAAAAAATGTTATAGTAATAAAGTTCATTTTCAATTTTGATTATTATGGCTTATATAAATCAGAAGTCCAGGATCTCCCTGTTGCTCTTGTACCTTTTCCCCTTCCGGTCAACTCCCCATAAATATGCTTTGATATGACACTTTGCAAACAGCGAGCCTTTTCAGCAAAGACTGGACCAAGAGATAAACAGTATTTATACTGTTGGAGTAGCAATTTACTCAAACTCAAAATTAAAAATTGTACAATTTTGAAGTATGTTTTGTTTTTAAGCTGTAGACCACAAATATCAAAATAACTGAGTAATTCTTGAAACATTTTAATTTATGTGTAATGAGGCTAGACAATACAACATTTTCACTTTCTTAAAAGCTGAAAAACATGAAATTCTTTCTTGATATTCTCATTTTTTTTTTTAGATGAACCTGCATATCTACACATATAAACATAGATCATTTTGCTGCTTACCTTTGCTTTTTTGCTCTGTAACCTGAAATAAACAAAAAAAAAGATCAGTTCCTAAGAATTCTTTAAATGGGCATCAACATGAGGCCATCATAAAAAAGAATTTTAAAAAAATTCATGAAATGTTAATGCTACACGAAATGCAAATGTTTCTTTCTCAAGAACAATTACAAAGGTGATTTGTACAAAGGGTTAGTCCTTGCTAGAATGGCATAGCTTTGAATTGCTAATACGTCACCTAGTCAAGAAAACAATATTAGAGCTGAACTATATTAAATACACAAAGATTGGATATCATGCTTCGTGTTACTATATAACTCAATGGAAGGGACATCAATTTGATGATGTACCATCTTGATATGTACTGATATTGTTATAAATCTGTATCTGATCAGGCACAGGGTATGTGAATGAAATCTGTCCATCTGGGACAAAACAGTGCCAACTTTTGAGGACAACAATATGAACTGCAATGAGCACAACAGTGCAGCAAGAAGTCCTGCTGGCACACATGTCTCTATTGAGTGTAAGTTCGTCAAGATCTAGGATCAAATATATTTTCATGCAAACCTAATATTCCATATGTTATAAATTTCATTCACACATCAGATTTGTGTGTTTTAAAGAGAATGGACTAACATATACATCAAAAAAGGTAATTACATGAAAATGATGCAATAATATCTTCTGACACAGAGGCACACTACTTATATACAACAAAATGCAAAAACTGTAAAATTTTAACTTATCTCCAAAAAAATGTACAGTCACAAATAAGCAGAAATATCACAAGTTGGGCATCTCTAGTGAATTAAGCTGTCGTAAGCTTCATGTATTTACAAGTAAGCATCGTTCAACCCTGCATACTGTGCCAACACACAAAATGCCATTAAATTTTGAGTATATTTATGGAATATTAATGAAGAGACATAATCAACTGACCAGATGAACACACTAACCTTCTGAGAGGCTTCCCTTTTCCTTTTGTCGTCTTTTTTCCTTTTCTTGTCTTCCATGAACTACTGCTCCTGTCCTGATACTCCTCTTTTCTAAAGGAAAAAAAAAAAAAGATGTTACAAAATGTAGTCACAAATTCACCATTTTAAAATAAGCATGTGCTTCAACTGCATAGTCTGTGCCTTTTAACTGTAAAGCAAATCCCTTCTCGATAAACAGATCCACAGTTAATAGTGACTGCAGCAAAAATCAAGGGCAAACGACAACATCAACAGTAGCTACATGGCCGTGAAAGAGTCCAGTGGACAACTGGATGAGTCAACCATCTGGTGCTAGAGCTCAGACTGTCCCTGAACATGTAGGAGACAAACGCAGGAAATATCCATGTGATGAGGATGCGGAATACATTAAGCTGCTCACATTCGTAGGTTCAATCAATTTACATGGTTTACATGAGGTTTGATTTGGTCAGTCAAGTCATCTTGTCAACAGACTGAATCTGCAGGTGGGTACGGAAACCACAACAAATGACCAACTGTGAGTTTGAGCGGAAGCATACCTTCAAGATTAGACTCTAACAGATTTAAAACAAGAAACATGCGACCGAAGAAAAGCAATTAATGCAAGGTTAGTCACATTCCCAGTGGAGGAGCACAGAGCAGGCTGATAGAGACAAATTCAACCAACGTATTTTCATACAGATTCTTCAGTCATATCTAAGTTTTGAAACCTCAAGGATATTTATATTCAGAAAATGAATAGTAAGGTGGATATAATGTTTCAAACAAATGCATCCATCAATGTTCATGTAACACAGCATTACTGCACCAACAGAGATACGCTGTCAATCAGCATTAATATAGCAAGGCAAGTAGAGCTGAATATGTAAAAAATAAAACATATTGCAATTTCTTTTCGACTAAAACAAACCAAAAAAAAGATAAGATTTCTGCTGCAGTCTGTACCGAGCGTATTTCTTTATCTCTCAAGAACTTGATATATAGGCTGGGGCATCCCTGTAGCATCAAATTGCTTTAATTTTAATGGTATACTGTGACATATTCTATTTTTATCAACAAGATTGCATTTGGCCATATGGCCATTTTGATTACATGTCGAATACTCGTTCATGCCTACAGGAAAGCACCAGCAACGACGCATACTTAGACACTTGTATCACACTATGGCAACAACCAATATCCACAGGATGTCTGCGCTCATAAACGCACGTAGAACGATAAATCATCAGTTTATTAACCTAGAAGTGAACAGATGGTTTATGTGTATAAACTCAGTGAACTGCAAAGCTCTGAGTGTATCGCCATAGTTGGTTTCGTTTTTGCTCAGTGCTGCTTACAGTTCAAACAGACAGGTTTCCTAGATTCACGGAAAAAGAACCTGACATCCTTCCTGAAGCATTTCTGACCTCAGGCCTGGCGGATCAGAAAGCCAGAAATGATTCTGATGTTATTTCGATCCGTCAGATCTGCAGTCAGCTCTATTCAGCAGCCTTGCAAATCAGTGATGTAGCTGAGCTTTAATAGCTTTATGCTTCAGTACCTGTGGTTCCGTCAACGTTATTCCAGGTTTATCAGCATTTAGATAGCCATCACAACAGCACAGGAAGATCTAAGCACTATGCTAAAATGGAAAGGCGAAAAATAAACCGAGCATAAAGGGAAAAAGTCGACTACATTCATTCCTGCCCTTACAGGTTTAGACAAGTTGAACACCAGCTGCTAATAAAATATTCGTCGATGCTAACATTAAGGAGTGGTTTCAGCTCGTACGTGCGTAAAATGCGCGGACATCGAGCATCGCGCACATTAACAAGTTAACGAGATCAACCAACTGTCAACCAGCGTAAGTTTGTTAACTACTCCGCTGTGTGTACACGACCGTGTTGAACAGCAAAGACACCGAGGGCCAAACACCAAGCTCAGCTAACGCACAACCACATATACTGCTACAACGGCGTTAATGCTATCGGACGTTAGCCACATAAGCTAAGTTAGCTAGTGACAGCAGCTACAAGTAGCCAGGTTAATAGCTTGGTTAGCAGCCGCCGTGGCATTGTATTTCATTAACACTCGCAGTCTGTTCGCAGCCATTCATATAATGACAACGCTTAGAAATATTGCACACAATTCCAAGTACTCACCTCAGGAATCACATATGAAGATAAGCTAGCGTGCTAGCTAGCTTAGCTAAAGTGCTTCAGTGCGATTTTTTTTTTAGCTTTTTGAGGCATTCGTCGAGGCTACAAGAACAGCGACGCCTGAGCGGATAGTCAAGTAAGTGGCAGATGATGAAAACACACGCGTAATAAGCTACTGGTTTGTAAATAAGTACTAACGTTATAATAGTGTAAACCCTAATGTGCAGAAGAATTTAAATTTCAAAGCGCTGTGGAGTCAGTCGGTTGACGGGCGGCCATTTTGCTGCTCAGCATGAAGCGTCTCCAATGGGCAGCCTGTGGCAGCTGCGCGGAAGAGCTCTGACTGGCTGCCTGCTGCCGGGAGGGATACATAAAAGACGCGTTTTAACCTTCATTAACTTTTGACAGTCAAATCTAACACCGCCGTGCCTACTTCTCAGGTTAAAAACTCTCGCAAAAGCTCAATTTAAAGTAGCCATTGATACAACAGTCAACCTATGCAGAGATATTGTTGAATTCACAGGCGACTTCATAGCATGGGTCCGAGAAAAATAAGGAAAAGGAAAAACGAGGATTCTCTGGGAGGTGAGAAGGTGGAAAAGGACACAGAGGAGAATGAGGCCGAGGAGAGAAGAGACAGGAGGAGGAAGGACCATGGGAATAAATACATTGGAGCTCAGGTTGGCATACAAGGTAGGGCCTAATGCCACCTTGTGAGACTCCTCAAGTTACTTAATCACACTCACTCCCTCACAGGTCATGTCTCTTGTCCCCAGGCGGGATATGGAAAGCAGTGGAGTCCTGTATGGAGATAGGTGGCAACTGTTTCGCCCTCTTCCTGGGCTCCCAGCGGTCATGGAAAAGGCCTGCGTTGGACCAGACAGCTGCAGCAAAGTTTCGGGAGCAGTGTTCCCTTCAGGGGTTTGACCCGGCTCACATCCTGCCTCACGGGTCCTACCTGATGAACTGTGGATCTCCTAAAGAGGGTTTGTCAGACACTGATGGATGTCTTATGCACACTCTGTCCTTGAATTTCTTCTCCTCCTCTCTCCCACTTAGTTACCAGCCTTTGTCTTGCACTGACTGTCACTGTGTAGATTCTCAGACATTCATAGTCATCCTTCAGTAAAACTCAGCTGGACTTCTCTCTTCAGGATGTGTCACTTCTCATCCAAGAGGCTTCCTTACTTCTGAACTATACTTTTTGATTTGTCCAGCATCATTCTTTGTCCTGGTCTGACTTCCCTGTCTGGTTTGTGCACCGTGCTGCTCCTAGATGTGTTTGAGAAGAGCCAGGCCCTGCTGGTGGATGAGCTCAACCGCTGCAGCCTGCTGGGCCTTAACCTCTACAACTTCCACCCCGGCTCCTCCCTGGGCACCATCACCACCCAGCAGTGTGTGGAAAAGATAGCGGGAGCCATTAACCACGCTCACCAGCAAACGCCCACTGTGGTCACAGGTACAGGGGGTGGACAAAATAACAGGAACATTCAGTTTATAGCCTTCATAGCCCTCTAAAGACAATCACCATATGTTGACATTGATGAGAGTGTCAGAGGTGCTGTTAGAAGTTATGGCCCATTTGTAGAGTTAAACACATTTATTTTAGTGAATCTGGCTCTGTATCATAAGGGTCAACCTTCAACCACTGCTGCTTTTTACTGTAATTTTTTTTTTTGTCTGCTACTTATGTTTTTGGCTGTACATGTAACTGATACTCCAGCTGTTCAGCAAAGGATCTGCTGTAAATCATAATTAAAAAGGCTGTTAGCAACTTCAGCAAGTTGTAAACCAAGTAGCAGTGTTTCAGCTTTACCAAAAGTCTTATAATTAGCATTTTTTTAAAAACTGTTTCCAGCTAAAATAAAGAAACAAAGGGCTCAAACATTAAAGTAAGGAAAAGAAAATTTTAAAAACTCACAAGAATGCATATGGAATTGTGAAATATGCATTAGAAAAGAGGAACAGAAGACAACATCACAGACATTCAATGCTATATTTGTTAGGTAGCAAGTCAAGATGGGGGTTTTCCAACATACAGTTTTAATATTCAAATTTTCAATTCATGTATTTAAAAAGGAACAGTGTATATTTATATTCAGACATCATTTTAAAAAGCTTGAAGAAATGTACCCAAGTTAGCCAAACAGCTTATTTTTATCAGTGTCTTTACAATCATGAGGTAGCCCTGCCCTAAAACATGCCCTAGTTTTGTCTATTTTTCTCTAAATTGAACCATAATTTACAAAAGGAATGTTGTGCTGTGTTGAAAAAGATGGAAACTAGTGATTTAGACTGTTAACTCATTAGGAAAATGTTTACTGAAGTAATTAATCAAGTGAAAAGTAGGGTCATTTTCTCTTAGACTTTTGTGCTGTCAGACTTCGTTTTGCAACCAGAGAACTCACCCCTGCTGATTGTTGCAGTGAATACATGTACAGGGCACTTTTGCATCGTCTTCATTTTTATGTACAGTCTATGGTATTAGATTAATTTATCAGAGAGTGAATGATGTTGCAGAGAACCACTACATCAAAGTATATCTTTGCTGCCTCACTTGATAAAAGGCTTTTGTTATTGAAGTCTTGCAGCTAAAGATTGAATCTGGATGTACCCACAACAACTTGTAGTCTGTCCTGAGATGACATTATCATGCTCTGCATCAACACTATGACTTTTTGAGAAAAACACAAAATGTCGGCGAGACATTCAGTTGCAAACGGCATCTGTTACGCCAGCATGCAGCATGAATGATACAATTTTAACATAAGAAAAAATCATGGTATCATCTGCATATGTTAGAACTCAGTGACTTTAAAGGAGGCAGTCCTACACACACTGAAATCCGATTTCACTGATATTTCTGTTTGTGAGGAAAATCCTTTTGCATGTAATCAATGAAATGACATATTTCAATGCTGTTTAGGAAGATATAGCTTTCACTGCCATAAGTCAGTTATCAAAAATGATATGAATACATAAAATCACATTTTTTGCTGGCATGTCAGCATCTTTTACCAACCATTTGACCTCACACTGACTTGTGTGTTACTACAGAACTTTCAATTTGCAGAACTGACTGCATGCTTGACACCAGTGTTGCTCAGGATTCATGACACCAACCACAGATCTGTTGACTCACGTACTCAAAGTGCTGCTGGTGTGACAACAATAAACAGCAGTCAAACAACAAGGCAACAATTGTGTTTAAACTGTGAAAGTAACAGCAGCAGCAACAAGATTAATCTTCTATTTGTAGCAGGTAGAGAGAATTATTACATTTGAATGGGTGTGTCCAATTGCACCTTTTTTCTCTCTGCTCTCCATGTGGTCAGTGCTGGAGAACATGAGCGGCCAGGGCAACACAGTGGGCGGAAAGTTTGCTGAGCTGAAGAGCATCATAGACAAAGTGAGAGACCAGACAAGAGTGGGAGTGTGTCTGGATACCTGTCATGCCTTCGCTGCAGGTGAGTGAAACCTCATAGTAGTACGTGTTGTTTACTAGGGATGAATGATTTTTTGAAAATCATATTTTGATTTATATTATGATATATTTTCTGAAGCTTTGTTTCAATATGTACTGTGTAATTGCTTTAAAATGTGATGAAACATTTCCACGAGATGCCATCAAATGCGTGACTGTCGCACAAGGAGGATGGCATGAATTTGTAAAACCAATGACAGCAGTTTAAACTCATGGTCAGTTGTGCAGCATAATGTTAATCCTGGATAGCAGTCTTTGCAATTTGCTAATTGCATCGTTTCAAGTTGCTTTTTAAAAAAATTTGAAATCAATTCCTCCCTCGGCTCTGATGTTAACCCTTTTTCTGCTTAATATCCGAGCTAAAAACAAGGCTGCTGTTATTTGGAGGAAACACCTGTGAGGCTTTAAGATATTCAAATGTCCATAAGGGCTGTGAGTGTTTATTTTTATACTGAAGTATGACTTCTTCTCTTGGGAGGCTATGACCTGGCTGCGGAGGGAGGAGTGAAGGCCATGCTCGATGAGTTTGATCAGGAAGTGGGGCTTCATTACCTCAGAGCCCTCCATCTCAACGACTCCAAAGGTACGGCCTCCACTCACACAAAAACATCACATACACACAGCCACAACAAGGTATTTATGAATTCAGTTTCTCGGTGTCAGTTGGTAAAGTCTTGGTGTATTTTCTGTGTGATTTGCAGGAAAACTCGGCTGCAACCTTGATCGGCATGAAGACATTGGTAAAGGTCACATTGGAGTCTCTGCGTTCCGAGACATCGTCAACGAGCCGCGACTAGACAACATCCCTATGATTCTGGAGACACCCGGACGGTTAGTCTGTGAACGATAAATGGGAAAACTGAAACAACAATATCTTCATTAACTGACAAAATGACAATGAAATGGAGAAGTGTGTTTTCTGACTGAGTCATTTGTTTTCATGGTATTTATGTTTTTTTAACAAAAGAAAAGTGATGTATGCAATCATGTTGCTTCAGGGGAAGTTTTAATGTTTTCTGTAATGTCTTTTCCCCATAGGACAGGATTCAAAGATGCTGAGCAGATTGAGCTTCTTTATTCCCTGTGCAAGAATTAGTAAATTAAAGCAACCTGCAAAACGGAAACCTGCAAAATGACAGTTCACCTGACTGAAGTGTTTGTCCAAAGGGACCACAGTGAATGTATGATGGAGCCTGTAGTTGGTTAGTTTGTTAGTCACAGTGTTAACAGCTTCATCAAGGAATGTGTTTTGTTTTGTTTTTTTTGTCTCTGTATGAACAAAAGTTAAATGAATGTTTTTGCTCCAATTTCTTATTTGACTTGTGATGAGTCGTCTTGTCCACTGTCGACCACTAGGGGGCGGCGGGAACACACAAATCCAACACAAACCCGATGTGCGGAGGTGAGACACAGAGTTGGAGATAAATGTAAAAGAAAAAGAATCCAATGTGTGCAGGTATTTGCATTTGAGAACCCCGTTTATTTTGCAACATAGTTAAATCTTAAAAGGACCAAATGCAGTCAGAGGTATTTGCTAACAGTTCACTTCTCTTTAACTGCAAAATACCACTGACTGTCCCTTGAAAGTTAGCATACATGTTTTATAAACATTTGTTGTAAATGTTATTGCAGTAGAAATGTCAGAATGTATTTTTTTTTTCATGCCTCAAGAAATGTAAAATTTTTTTACCTGTATGAAAACTACAAATTTATGAATTATACATTTATGTAAAGGGAATTTAACCTTTTAAGAAATGTTGATGGTGATGTTGAACATTTACAAAAATTATAAGAAGTAAACATATGGGACACAATGTTTTACAAAATTTCACTGGTTATGTGACATGAAATCATATATTCTGTGTGTATAGTGACTCATAGCTTGATTTTTTACATCATTTTTGTTCTAAGTTACTCTTGGTTTTCGGAATTAAAAGTTCACAGAAATCATCCAAGTCAATCAGAAACCTGGCGTCAATGTCCCATCATTCCCATCGTTTGATGTTGCCATGGCAATTTGTTAATATATAAGAAAATACATTTATTTCCCATTAACATCATTAAAGCACCATATGAGGAATTATCTTTTGGTAAACTGGTGTTCCTTCCTCTACGAGAGTTCCAGAGACTTGGAGAATCAAGGTGTACTGACGCTGTTCTGGTAACAAATCGTGGCCTTACGAAGACACTTTAGGTTGGTTTCTCCTTTAATTTGTCACCAGTGTACAAGTATGTTTATCTCTAAGGAGCCCCCTACAACACACAAACACACATCTCACATTTACATCGAACTCCCACGTTGCTTCTCTGAACCGCTCCAGCTGTCAAATACCAACACTTTGGTGCAGCTGTCGGCCCCTGGGAGGACATTAATTGATTGTCACACCTACTCCAGCACTCTGACACCCCGTGGTGCACACAAACACACAGGAAAACATTCCCTGATACTGGAGGCTTGAAAACACCTAACAGATTGTGAAATATATGTTTTTTTTTTACTTTATAGCTATTCTGTGACCCTATATTACTCAAAATGGTGCAAACATCAGCAGATGCATGTGTGATCTTGTTCCATTTAGTTGAATGCCTTAATGATGGTGTTGATTTTTTCCACAGCTGAGCATTTTAATTTACCACACGTGACTGTTCGTGTACAGGTGTTTATGAAGCATCTCATTAATGAAAGCATGAAAATGTTCCAGCACTTCTGTCACTGCTCCCTGCTTTTCGCTCTGCTTTTATTGCATCCATATTATTTCCCTTTATTTCTCTGACTCATATCACAACACTGAGCTCGCAGGAATGTTTTGTTCCCTCCATTATCTCAGCACTCAGACTTTGACCTTGCACTTCTTCCTCTTGTTTCCACATGACGCTGCTAATCTTGCAATTGAAACTTAATCTGCTCCTGCACTCCGGATAAGAGCGTTGAATAAAGTGTAAAGCGCGGGTCCAGACTGTGTGGCTTTCAGTGTTAACAGAGTGAGGAAGTGGAGGTGCCTGGCTCAAGAATGTCTCTGCTCTCAGGTCCCACCCTCAGGAAATGCCTGTCCAGCCTGTTCGAGTCTGCACTGATGAAAAGAAGTCTCCTGTTAGCGGAGCTCTGGTTATGACAGAAGGACGGATGGATGGAGTTTGAATAATGAGGAGGCTGGTCCTGGTGCTCGCTTGCTCTGCAGTTTAGATAAGCAGATGCTTGATGGTTTTCAGAGGCGTTCTGGTGATCTTGCTGGGTCAGGGGTTACAACCCAGGGAAGCTGGAGACTAAACAATGAACGCACATTCCTCAACTCGAAATTAATCATTTTCTAGAGGAGGCGTGTGAAGGAAAACACTGATGGAACTATAAAATGCCTTTCCATTATGTAATTATCTAAAGATGTGCGGTATTAGTTGCTTGTGTGCGCCTGTGTTTTATGAGCACTCGTCCAGCCGTTTCTTCTCCTCTTTCTCTGTCATTACATTGTGCTGCAAATATTTTCCACTGCAGCCTAAAGCCACTGATCTAATTATACAACTTTGTAAAGACTACCAGATATTTTGGTGTCTCTCAGCGTCTTTCCAAACTCATATGTGAGCGCCTTCGAATAGCCAGCTGATGAGCTCTTTTGGGACTTGGTTTCCATCAGACTGATAGCTGCTGTGGGAAATCCGTCTGCCAAAATTAAGCTGGAAAGACGTTCCAAACAGTTGAAATGAAGACATTGTTTTTATGGATGACCTCAGGGACTCAAATGAGGGGAAATTATTAAAAATTGCAGCAGCATGCAGCAGACTATGCATTAAGTTTACTAGATGCAGTTGTGGATTTAAAAAAACAACACCTTCTGAACATGACATACCTGCAGATATCCACCTCCATGTTGGTTTCTTTTCTTATCCTGCAATTTGTGACATGTACTTGTTTGCCCTTTTTAATGTGCATGCACAAACTAAATTCTTGCCCCTGGTTTTCAGTCCTTCAGTCTCCTTTTTTATTTTATTTTTTTAAATGAATTTCAGCTGAAGTGCATGACTTGGAGCTGCTCAGTAAAACCACACTCTTCCTCTGAACAGCTCCACCAGACCAGCTGCATGGCTTTGGTCATGGGATGTCAACTGGCAACTTTCAAGTCATAAACCCACTCAAGTGACCTTTAGGCGGCTGATTATAAAGAAAATTGTCTTTTTAGAAAAAATAACAAACTTTACAGCCATGATTTCATAATCCACCAAATCAATGCTGCAGAAAAACAGTCTATGTCACTTAAATCTAGGTGGAGCATTGTCTGCATGAGTTGCTTTTGATTTAGAAGATAAACGAGGATATAAAGAGCAGATAACAGATCATAATAGCTGAAAAACAATTATATAACAATTATGTTACAACAAAAGATACTCCAACACCAAAATCACCACAGCGTATCAGGTATCAAGTACCGCTTCATCAACACCACCTGTTAGGCTCTGATTATGTCTGTTTTAACTGAGTTTAAACTGGTTGTTATTTAACATTCTAAAATGATTCATCTGGCATTTTGAGGAAGTACACCAATTTGCTTTTTTGCAAGAAATAGATTTTTAAATTGATACCACTGTCACGTCTGTACAGGAAGCTATAGCTAGCAGCAGGTTAGCTTTGCTCAACAAATAGAAGCAGAACTAGCCTAGCGCTGTTCAAAGGAGACAAAATTTGCCTAAATAAACAAACAAATTCTGTATATTTAGATATATATCATGCTAATTATTGTCTTCATTTGTGAGCTTTAGAGGAGCTGAAAAAGTACACTTTGCCAGCTGTTGGTCTCCTGTTTCCCGCCTTTCCCGCTTCACATTTTCTCACTGGACTTACTGCATGAAGTAGCATATTCCCCAAAATGCCAAAGTATTCCTTTCAGTATTACTGTCACAATGTCTTTATTCATTCAGTAGAACTGTCAGGGCTTGGACTGAATGTAGGTAGGTAAGGAGGTTCACTCCTTTATATGTTTAATAATAGTAATAATAGCTTTATTTATACAGCACTAAGGGCTTACAAAGTGTTTGACAGACAACACAAAAGCAGGATACCCAAAGTTAAGTCCATCAGCAGCAGTCAAGACAAGACATTGTTATTTATAGAGCTCATTTTAAACAGCAGGCAAAGTACTTTCCAGTAGAGGAATACAACTGGCATTTTTAATTTACCTGATACTTTTAAATGTCAAGGTTAAGACATTGCATTAACATTAATTATGCAAATGAACCTACTATGTGTGCTCCTACCACTTAGACTGGCAGTGTCTCCTCTAACATTAATTCACTATTTTCAGAATCTCTTCTCACTTGATCACAAGCTTTCACACACTGAATCACAACACTTGAAGTGTCATAAATGATGGGTGTCAGTAGGAGACATGTCTCGTGCCGTCTTCCAACTGTTGTCAGATGGTTACTGATGAACTGTGACAAGAAAGAAAAGAATAGAAGAGCAGTGTGTCACCAGTTTAAGATCGTATTCCTAGTGGGGCTGTCATGATATTGGATTTTCAGTACGGGATTATCGTGGACAAAATAATTCATTATATTATTGCGATATCTATAGATGTTTTTTTTGTTTGTTTTTTTTAAAAATAAGCTTATCAGTAGAAATTATCTGTAACTTTATGTGTTTCGTCTGCTTTGGGGAAATTCAAAATATGAGTGTAGGGAGTTGGAATAACCATAACTGTGCTGCATGTATCAGTCATATAGTTACATGTGCTGCATTATTTGTGATATTATCATATGTGGATTATTTACAAGATATTATCATCAGTGCTGGTATATTACAATGTCTCAAATTCCTATAAATGAAACTGTTTTGGTTTTTTTCCCCTTTCAAATCTCCTTTTTCATAGCCTTTAAATGTACCACCTAGCAACTGCACAAGTACCACCTGGAACACCTTTATTTGGAAATCACAGCATCAGCACTAAAAGTAATGCATTACACCCATAATCCCCAAGAGAGCTGGTTTTCTATTTAATCCATACAATCATAATAGGAAACGTGTTGACTCAAGTGTGCTAAGACAGAAGATGATCCATACTGGGTTGAACCAGTCAGGAGAAATCGAGGTAGAAGTAGTAGACATAGCAGAGAGAAATGAAAGAGAAACGACTGTGTGCGTGGCTCTTGTGTTCCAGTGTGGCTTAAATTTCAGGCTGAGCCAAACTCTCTAACCATCTCTCTATACCCACAGTCTGACTGCTCCATCTGCCAGCAGCTCCCAAAGGACACACTCACACAAACACACACACAATCCTCTGTACTGCCTGCACACACAAGCCCCTACAGGCCTTAAAACTCATATACTAACACACACACGTGAGCTAAAGTGTTCAGAAGAAATAAGAGCTGAAGGGCAGGGTGGAGTCCATTCTGCTTTCTCAGCAAATCCTTTATTTTTGCACCTCAGCAGCAGCAGCGCAGGCATCGTAAGTTACCTTCAAGATATGGCATTTCATTCCCCGCTGCGAAAAAAAAGAACAGCTCGGCCGTGCGTATTTGCATGCTATGTGTATTTTAGTAGTGGTCAAACTGTGCGGGTTTCTCGTGGCCCGAGAGAGAGAGAGAGAGAGTGTTGTAATGAGTGAGCGGCTGTCTAAGAGCCAGTGGATGTGACTATAAACAGAGGAGCTGAAAAGGAAGGTTTATGACCAGTGGGCGCTGTGAAAAATCTGGAAAGGACAAACAATTTGGAGAAGAAATTGCTCCTCGCCTCCTCAGCGAGGTCACAGATCTGTAACATTGGAGAGCCACTGTGGTTCCTCCTCTCATTCCTTCCATTTGTCCGTCTCTTCTCCCCCCCCTTTCGATCCCTCTCTTCCCGTTGGCTCGGGGTGAGGAATGCTACCCAGTGGTGGCTGGGCATCAGGCCACGAGGAGACAGGCAATCACAGCAGCGGAGCAGGAGAAAGATGTGAAGAAGAGAAAGGCCCAAAAAGAGAGGCTGAGAAAGAAGGAAAAAAAAAAGTTACAATAGAAAAGCATGAACAAGAGAACATCATGGGGCTGATCAAATGATTTCACTTGTATATATATTATTACATACCACTGTAACAACTGCAGCACTTCTTACCCATTGCTGTCTCTGCGAGTCCAAAAAAAAAAAGTTGAGTGAACTGAAACATCAACACAGAGAGAAATTTCTCCACCAACAGTTTCCTCAATTTACAACCACAGTTTCGTCATCTTTGAATACATCACTGGTGGAGAGGAACTCGATGACCTCTTTAAAACTATGAAAATGCAACACTCATTTATTTTCCTTTGTCTTTGCAGGCTCAAATCCTCCACATTAAAGCTGCTACAGTCAATGTTTTATATAAAAAATAGACCAAATGACCATGTGTTAGGTTACAGCAGCCACAGAGTTATCACTCAACTTTGCATCTCATCTCAGTTTTGGCATCTTTTAGCAATGGGGTAGCTCAATGGTTAAGGCTCTGGGTTACTGATAATGAGTTGGGTATTCAAGCTCCAGTGCCACCAAGCTGCCAGTGTTGGGCCTCTGAGCAAGACCCTCATCTGTGGCTGACCCTGTGCACAGAGCCCTAACAAGCTGGGATATGCAAAGACTGTCCTTTGTTGTAACCTTTGCAGTGTAGCTGTATAGATTCTCAGTCATCCAGGTCATGATAATCCTAAAAGCTTCTGTAAAAAAAAATCTGTAGGATTTGTTTGGCTTGTTCAATGCACCATCCAAAGGCAGCTACTTATATTTTCATCATGCCCCCATGTATGATGACAGTAAAGCTATTCTAGTCTAGTCTAAAAACCAACAGGACTTACCCTGGGAAATGAAAATAAAGTTGAATCTGAAAATTTTGGATCTCTGCTCCATTTTGGTTCACTTTCAACACTGTCATTAGCATTAGCAAAAAGTTCTGATCCCCAGTCCCAAACAGCACACAAAGTTTGCAACTAGTTGGTGAACATCTTGGAGTATTGAGCAGCTAAGCAGGGGTGTCCTGGTCCTCGAGGGCCGCAATCCTGCATGTTTTAGATGTTTCCCTTTTCCAACACACCTGATTCAAATGATCAGCTCATCATCAAGCTCTGCAGAAGCCTGATAACGATCCTGATCATTTGAATCAGGTGTGCTGGAAAAGGGAAACATCTAAAACATGCAGGATTGTGGCCCTCGAGGACCAGGACTGGACACCCCTGAGCTGAAGAGTCAAATATTTCCCTGAAGAGTTGTTGTAAATAAGCAGCTAACATGTTATCCATATCAACTTTTACAAGCTAAAATGTGACGTTTTTATGCTCATATGTTTTGAACTTTTAGCAGTTTGTTAAACCTGCAGGCGAAATGTGAAAGTTACGCTACCATTACTTTTGTAATGTTGGTTTAGAAAAGTGCTCTATGATCAAAGTGGAGTTCATGTAGTGTAACAATGTCCTCATTATGAGTGCTGTTGTATTGCTAGATGATGTTTTTCAGTTTAACAAGAATGATATGTGCAGTCATAGATTTGTAGACCTCTAGAGTTATGCATATCTTGCCTTGCTTGAACAATTCTTCATTCATTTCATTTTACTTTTGTGACTGGTAACCTGTTTTGTTTAAATTCCGAAAAGAGTAATACTGTATTTTTCATCAGGTTGTCCACATTTACATGGCCTGGATACATCGACATGGTAAAAATGCACAGAGTGAAGTATATAAGATATGATTTTAGTAGTCCATCATAAGAACAATGTAGTTTCAACATGGCAGATCATTGTCAGTAAGATCCACCATTTACTACATGGCATAAGTACAGCCTTCTCTTTTCCTAAGTCCTTATGATTTCCTCTTCCTTGACCTCATGACGTTTTCCATCAAGGTAAAGGAGAGCTGCTCAGGAAAAGACAGAGGATGTCAGTTCTTTTTGTGACAACCTGTGTTTACAGCTTCTTACACTGTCTCGAGTGGCAATCAAAAGATTAGTGACACAGAAAAGATTATTATGTGGAAGGCCAATAAGTGCAGAATTCCTGACTTTTACACCATCCAGTGGCAGTATAAAACCCAACACTGTGGCAGACACTAGCCATTTACCAGCTCCAGTTCTTAGGAGCGTTAGTCTGGGCTCGTCAGGTCGACTCAGCCACTTGTACTAATTTGGCAGGAACAGTCTTTTCCACCTTCTTACAGTGAAAACATCAGTAATCAGTGCTTTAGTGGCTTCCCTGTAGAGTCCACATCACAATTAACTCCATCACAATTAACTCCTAGCAATAAAATTCAAACAGAATGTGACAAAATACAGCTGTCATCCTCACTCACAGGAAAATCCTACTATCAAGCCTGCTTCGTCCTCATCGCACTGAAATAGAAACCTCAATCAGCAGACTCTCCACACACATACACGGCTATTTTCACACTTACAAAATCACCACCGCAGTTACACACTGTTATTTAGATGCCACCGAGCCAAACATATTGAGAACTAATTACAGTGAGTCGAGCGAAATCGCACTGACGCCGCCACTCGGCACAGACTGGCTCAGATGAGTGTTGGTGAATGTGTCCAAACGCTCAGGGAGCATGTTGCTGGTTTGCGTGATTGGGGTTTTGTTCATACTTTGGATCAGAGGCGTGTTTTATGTGTGCGAGTGAATCCTGCGCATACAGGGTCAGTCATCCAGGTCAGTCGTCCACATGCAAAGAGCACACAGGTCACACATTGACATTCCTCGCAGCACAAAGACACACACATATGTACTCCCGTGCTCTGACCTCTCTCCTATCGGGGCCTCGGACATCTTTGACCGATGGATTAACTGAGTAAACACACAGTTTATATAAGCGTCTCTGTAATCACACCTTCAGATTCACAGGCTTTGACAAAGGATCCATGCTCTCGGCCACATATACACACACATGCAACACAGAAAACAGCGTGGCTCTGCCACATACCTTCAGCTCTGTAAATAGCCTCCCTTCCTCTGGATCTTTCCCTTCCTCTGCCTCTTTTGACAGCCTGTGTGAATCCATACATCATCCAGCCTCGGAGACCTGAAAGGTGACATGGGCGAGGTCACAGACTTGGACATGGCGGTCTGAAAGCCCACCCTGTGTGTGTGTTTGTGTGCTCTGGAGTAGGGTGTAGTGTGTGGAAGGTCTACGACAATGTATCACCAAACTGATAAGCCTTTTGAGGAACTTTATTTTTCGTGGGGAGTGATCTGTCAATCCGGGCAGTCCTACTCCCCACACATATCAGCTGCAGATCATCCCAGTACAGTAGCTCATTCATGTTTAGTTTTTGCTGCTGTACAGCTTTTTCCCGTCTTGAAGTGTTTCTTTAACTGTTTGATATACTTTCCCAAAATATGACAGCCTGATGATCAGACCGGCTTCACTCATCTAGCCTCACATTGTGACTGTGTTAGCTGATTTCTCTTCTGTTTTGTTTGAGTTTGCGAAAACTGATGAATGACAAGTGACCACCCTACTGATGTCATTTTCAGTAAAGAGTGAAGGGGTTGGAGCAGTTGATGTGACATTTTTACAATAGTTTAAGAAGCCAGTTTAGTTGAGAACATTAAGTCAACTTACAAAAACCTGCAACCCTCCTAAAAGGATGTTCCAAATAAGCTGCGTTACGTTTTGAAAGAAACCCATTTTCTGCTGAGGAGGTAAGAGTGTGATGTCATTGGAAGCTTTTTGTACTTTCAAAGAGTCACAAAGTCCATATTTGAAGGTTTGGAGGATCGCTGGTGGCACAAGTCCATCAGAGGACTTTCACCCACATGACTGGGGTTCACATCCTGGGTGGGATCTTTATTTTTAGATTTAAGTTTTATTTTCACTTGCTGTTTTGTTAGGTTTAGGCAACACCAGGGCGGCTTAGATGGTCAAGTGGTTTGTTAGTGTATGTGAGTTGTAAGCTCTTTGAGTGTCACTAAGGGGGAAAAAACACTGTATAAGGGCAGACAATTCACAAAACTATTTAGTTTGGTTCAAGAAAACAATCATGCTTTGGCTGAAATAGACTCTTTCACAACGTTACCCTGAAGCGTCACCTCCATTTTCTGGGTTACCATAGTGACAAGTCTCACCAAATCTAAAACATGACATTCTGGCTGAAAAGGAATGACATTTAAAAAAGAAACACAATAGAGACATGTTGATTAGACATCTACAGGTGATAGATCACAAACAAATTTAATCCATAAGATAGAATGTTTCCCTCAAAACATACTCCAGAATGCAGTTAGTTGTGTAGGAACATCATTTTGAGGAGACAGGGCTCCACATTTGCAGGTATTTTTTGCAGCTTTTTCCCACCAAAGACATAAAAAACATCAAAATTTTTACGCTCGCTTACAGAGCACCGATTGGTTGACTTTCTCTGTGTACCAAACCATCAGTGAGGACCAGAATTAGTACAAAGATGTGAAGTGCAATGAGTTATGATGGAAGCTCATCTTTGATCTCAGAGACATAAATAAATGTATTTTCATATTCATTCAGACTTCAGTTTATCTGGTTTAACAGAACAGTGGAGGTTCTCACACCCAAAAAAAAGAAATTTATGGGGTCTGCACTCTATGTGAGGCAAAATGTACGAGTGTAACGCTGTCTGCATGTTTTATATTTACTATAGTATGAAGAACAGATGTGTTATGGACTGAGAGTGAAAATGCAGCATAGTGAGAAATGTTCTTGCCTTTGACAGTGGGTAGATTTTTGGTTTGGGTTTAAAGTTGAGGCTTCAGATTTGGGTTCAGCACGAGGGTGAAGGTTTAGGGTTGCGTCAGGGTAAGATCAGGACGAGGCTGAAACTGTGTCGCCAATGGTACATCCTCATGAGATAGCGTGTGCGTGATGAAGAAGATAGGACAGGGAACAAAACGATCTTTTTAGAGTCTCTGTGCGTCCGTGCAGCTCAGACTCTGTGTATGCATGCGCCCGTCTTCGTGTGCTTTCCTGTTTTAGCCTCGCAGTGACATAAAGCGTGGTCTTACAATAGCCCATTGTCCCGTCTCCCCTCCACGCTTCCTGTCAGGTCAGAATTCACGGAAATAAGGACACAGTGCAAACAAACAGCGGCGGCTACAGCTCTCCACCCACTGTCGGGCCCTTCAGGAGGAACCGGGCCCCAACTCAGGGGGTGGGCGGTAGCGTTCCTGCCAGGAAGCTAATCAGCGTCGCATCCCAGTTTGACGAATGCAGGAGAGCCACATCTACAGTCCGCATGTGAACGTGGACTGATGGGGAGGAGAGCAGGAGGTGGTGGAGGGTGGAGAACACAAGGGTTGGGGTTTGAAAAACGAAACCAGGAATGATGGGGATTTCCAACAGAGGCCTTTATGGTTTGTAGTATATCAAATAGTGTGATTACTCTTACAGTGTGTTGGTTTTTCTTTGGTGGGAAAGTAGACTTCACACATTTTTAGGTTTGTGCGTATTGTCAAAGACGACCACTGTGTTTTTTAGCAGCCTGGGCTTAAAAGAAGTAAATGCTCTTGTTGGTTTCCTCGTAGATATTTCTGAAAATCCCCACATAAAGCGTTTTGAGCCTCGAACAAGCAGTGATGACATAAATGTGACCGTATAACGACCGACCCACACACAGATCATGTTTATGACGATGTGGTTGTTGTGAGCCAACTGAATGACTTCACTCTGACAAACAACATAAACTAGAAGAAGGCACGTGCCAGAATTTAAATAAACTTACCTTTAAAAAAAAAAAGAAGAAGAAAAATCAGACTTCTTGGTTGATGCTTTTGGACTTTACATTCACACATGTACTCTGGAGCAAGACACCAATTTGGCAACAGCTCCTGAATCACAGTTCATTAAGTCATTGTGGTATCTATTGACTCTATAGCTGTAAACTTAATGAATGCTGTAACATAGTTTATGGTATTTTTCTTTTTTTAGTCTGTGTTTTATGTCTGCTTGATGTTTTTTTTTTTTTTCAATTGCGAAGCACTTTTTTCTGCTCTTGAAGTTGCTGTTACCATAGAAATGCAAAATAACGTAATTCTCCTTCTATCCCAAAGCTAAATGAACAGAAAACCACTTCAATAGAAGCAGAATAGCCTACTACTCCCTGAACAGTGGGTACCACAAGCAGCCAGTTAGCTGAAGTTTAGTTTATAGATTGTAACATGTGAAAGAAGCAAACTTGTCTTCGTTCAACAGTGATGGGAAGTAACTAAGAACATCAAGCGATGTACTTCATCAACTTGTGTCTTTTCTTTTCCTGACATTTTGTACTACTTCACTACATCTCAGAGGGAATTATTCTACGTTTAACTTCATTACATTTATCTGACAGCTTTAGTTATTTTACAAATTTGCAAGAATTAAATAAATATGTTTTGTTACAAATTCAACTTCCCAACAGTTTATATAAGTACATCTGAAAGAGTTGATTAATCAATTCGTCAGCCAACTACACTATTTTGAGAATTGTTAAAAGCACTTGTGGCGGCATTTCTCACAATCTTCAGAATTTTTACAATCTAAATAATCAGTCAGTTTATTAAGGAAAAAATCAGAAGATTAATCCATCCATCCATTATCTATACACCTCTTAATCCTCACGAGGGTCACGGGGGAGCTGGAGTCTATCCTAGCTGACTCAGCATGAAGGCAGGGGACACCCTGGACAGGTCACCAGTCTATCACAGGGTTACACTTAGAGACAGACAACCAAGCACACTCACATTCACACCTATGGACAATTTACAATCACCAATTAACCTCAACATGTTTTTGGACTGTGGGAGGAAGCTGGAGAACCCAGAAAGAACCCACGCTGCACGGGGAGAACAACCTCCACGCACAAAGATCCCAGGCGTCCTAACTGGGACGCGAACCGGGGATCTTCTTGCTGGGACTCTCTAAGTCGGAATGCATTGTTTTATCCAAGTATTAATGAAGTATTTTAAAATTAAAAATCAAAGTGCCTCACATGCTCTTTGGACTGATGATTTATACGAAGGACTTCCATTAATATGAAGTGGGAGAGTGAGCATCTTTTTTATTTTTGCTGACTATTGTCATATATTCATATTGACATAGTGCAGCACTTCCTATAGTTCTTCATTGAAATTTCATGTTAGGGTTTGACAGAGGCAAAAGGGCCTCATTATTTCTTGGTCACTGCTTGTACTTAGGTGTTTGTACAGATTAAACAAAGCAGGTAACATGTTTCAGCTTTTGTGATCTTTAGACAGGTCCAGGCTCGATGTTTTTGCCATTTACAGCTTTACATTCACTTTATAGGCATGACAGCAGCATCAGTCTTTGGTTGTGCAAATAAGCGTCTCTATTTTGAACTACACCTGTTAGACTGCCTAACAAATCCACAATAGAATGGATTCCAACCCAGTTCACTCCAAATCACAGGTCATAATTATTGCAGGGCTGCTGTTCTGGGTTCAAGCACATGTTCATGTAGTACACGCCATTATCTCTGTCTTTTGTCAGACTTATGCAACTCATAACATTAAAACTAAGCTTCCCAGTTGTCACTTGGACCTGGTCATTGGTGCAATCATGTGCCAATGATGCCTGCACGTGTGGAGCCGAGCATAGCGCCTTCTGAAGACGAGTATCATCACTGGACTTCCTTTGATCTGTTTTGTTCATCAAAACTCGAGGACTCTGTTCATGAGTTTCTGTGTTTTTGTTGATGCTTCTTTTGTACATGCATATTTTTATTTGGGTAGAGACAACTAAGTGTTTAATTCTCAATGTTCTTTTCTTAATTTCCCATTCCCAAATTCAAACAAGCTAAAAATTTGTCATTTCAGGGTTGTTTTTTTTTTGGACTTGATGGTTATTCAGAACTTGAAAGGGTTTAACTGGCAAACACACAACATATACACACACCCACATGATCACTCATGTGCAAACACACACACATGCTGCCAAATCCACAGACAGACTGGAAAGTAAAGATCCGATCAGGAAACGGTCTCGAAGAAAACAAGACATTTGGGATTTTTTTTCCTCTAAAATAGTAAAACAGTCCCTCTTGAACACATAATTCA